TCACAGGGTGTACTCTCACGTAGACAAGGGGAGCGGTGCTGTGAGGATCATGTTCTTTGATTTCTAAAGCGCCTTCAACACCATCCAGCCCCTGCTACTGAGAGTCAAGCTAGCAGAGATGAGGATGGACTCTCACCTGGTGTCCTGGATCACAGACTACCTTACATGGCAGGGGTGTCAAACTCCAATGTGAGTCCTGTGTAGCTTAGCTCATTCCCTATTCAACCACAAATGATTCAGCTCAAGAGCTGCGTGATAATTAGCACAAGGAATTAAATCATAGGTGTTAAATGAGGGAAAACCCAAAAACTGGAGTCTGACACCCCTTTATAGGGAGACCATAGTTTGTCAGGCTTAGGGACTGCTCCTCTGAGACTGTAGTCACCAGCACAGGTACACCACAGGGGACTGTGCTTTCCCCTGTCCTGTTCACCCTATACACATCTGACTTCACTTACAACTCGGAGCTATGCCACATGCAGAAGTTCTCAGATGACATGGCAGCTGTGGGGTGTATTAGTAATGGTCAGGAGGGGGAGTACAGGAACCTGGTGGAGGTCAAACCATCTGCAGCTGAACACCTCCAAAACAAGAGAGATGGTGGTGGACTTCAGGAGGTCCAGGCCCCATCTGTTACCAGTCTCTATCAAGGGGGTCGGAGTGGAAGTAGTCAAGACCTACAAGTACCTGGGGCTACAGCTGGAGGACAAACTGGGCTGGTCAGCAAACACTCTACAAGAAAGGCCAAGGCCAGCTGTATTTCCTAAGGAGACTGGGGTCTTTCAACATCTGCAGGAAACTGTAATGTTCTACCAGTCATCGCCAGCATCCTCTTCTATGCTGTGGTATGTTGGGGACACAGTATCAGGAAGAGAGATGCCAAGCAACTGCACAGGCTGGTGAGGAGAGCTGGCTCTGTGGTTGGCACAGAGATGGACTCCGTCACATCAGTGGCAGAGACAAGGACCCTAAACATGGACAATGTCAGTCACCCCCTGCACAGCACAGTCTCCAGGCAGAGGAGTCTGTTTAGTGGCAGACTGCAGTCACTGTCGTAGTCGACAGACAGACTGAGGAAGTCTTTTGTCCCCCAGGCCATACAGCTCTACAGTGCGTCACAGAGACAGAAGAGCGAATTGGACATGAGGCTGCTTCCCTCTGCATTTCTAATATATACTTTACAGAGTATATGTATTATATAGAGTACATATTTATACACATATAATTATATCTCATAATTTCATACTCTATGTATATTTCATACATATTCCAGATATGTACCTTTATATTGTGTGTGTGTGTAATATATAAATATATACACACACAAATATATATATATACACACAAATATATATACACATACAAACACACATATACACACACATACACACACACAGATGCTCTTCTACTTACAAACTTTCAACTAATGAACTTTCAGACATATGAACGAAGAGGACTGAACGTCCAAATTGTGTTCCTTGAACTCCCATTTCCTGTCCGCAACATAATTTTTTTTCCCCTGCGCACCAATTCTGCCTAGTACCACTTCTGGCCGCTACTCCTGCTGCGCAGCAGCGTAGCGTGCATACTCCCAGCATCCTACTTCTTTGTACTTGCGTATATCCTTAAAATGATGTTGAATAACAACTTACGAACATTTCAAGTTACGAATGGCCATTCCGAACGTATCTT